GAGCCACTGTGCCCGGCCAAGTTATTGGCATTTTTACACATTTAAATAATTATTTAAAATAGATTCTGAGTTCTGTATAGTAATATTTTAATATATTTTATTATATTTACTACTCATAAAAACCTGAAAATAAGTATATTGTATATACAATGCTTTTTTCAGTCATTTTCTGCATTTCAAAAGTAAAAATAATGCATCAAGGCAAAAAAATGGTGGAGTGGAATTTGAACCTACATCCATTTAACCACAAAGCTCATGTTTTTGACCCTCTAGGAACCTCTTAGTTTCGCTTTGCCTCAGGTTGGGCATGTTAACCTAATTGAAAAATAGGCCGTAGTGCCTTTGGTTGCATATTCTGTGTCTCTCTGTTTTAAATATGAATATTCACAGAATCATACTCTTTAATTTCTTATTAATGCTTTTTATGTCCAAAAATCATTATTTTAAAAATTTTGCATAATTCAAGAGTAACTGAATTTCTGTTGTTGCAATAAACCTTATAAACACTAAGAACTTCTTTTCCTATTTAGAAACAGAGTTTTACTAAATAACATTTGGAAAATTCTTTGGTCAGAAAAGAGCAAGACATCTTGAATCTGGAGCTGTTCATTTTATAGTTAGTTAAGAAGTTTTAAAGGGAATGCTTCTAATTTTCCTACTGATTCTCTTCTTTAAATGATGAAATTACTTTAGAAAATCTAAACATGCAGATATAAGATTCTAATATATGTTCCATCACTTGTGTAATTTCTCATCTTCTCCAGTGTTCTGTGTCATAAAGAACCTCTTTAGATGTATATGTTCCCATCCAAGTGTTAGGGGTCAACGTTAAACTTCTAAAAATAATATGGAGTCTTTAAAAAAGTTAAATTAGATAAACCATACTAGAAGACTCTGGATCATTCTTTCTGTTGGATGTAGCACATACACTATCCATGTTTCAAATAAACAAGGGACAGGAAGTTACCAACTCACAATTTTTGTGTTCCTGAAAGTTTGTTTGTGAGTTGGTTACTTGGAACCTGTTCTCCTGTAGGAATAATGATACAAATAATAGAGTCTCGCACAAGTCCATCAAAGGCTATTAACCCAATATCTAGTTAACATCCCAAATATTTGCTATAAAATGTGTAAAGAACAGTATGGTTCTCATAGTAATTAAATAGAAGAAAATTATGGCATTAAATGTGTTTTTAATTTTGAATGTTGCTGTTTGAAGGAAAGAAGCTTTAATTGGAGGGCAATGAAGAGCTGGAGAGAAAATTTCAAGGTATTTTTAGAATACCATCAAATACTTTAGGTATTTTCAGAAGTTTTAGATACTCATGACACTGGATTTTTCAATTATGCTCAATTTTACTTTCATACTTGTAGCTTACCTTTTCCCAATTCAATTTTATCATACGAACTGCTTTTAAATTATGAATAAAGTCATGATGTAAACTCACAGACTGGATTAAAAGTGGGAGAGAGAATTTACTGAGATAACTCTAAAGGAGTTAGAAGAGAGAAAAATGAGAAGGGATTATAATGAATTTGGGCTC